TCCTGACCCTTACGACTGTGATATCTGCTGGTGAGCCCCGCATTTCCTTATCCTGAATCCATATCTCATGTGTCTCTGTCTAGGGACGACGCCATGGTCGTCTACTCCACCGAACCTCCCCCAGGTGCGTCTGCTCCGGACGTCCAAGGCAGCGAGCAGCACGTATGGAAACTGCGCCCCGATGCGAAGCCTTGTACTTGCAGAGAAGGATGTTATCTACAATGGAGTGGTATCGGGGGCTGCGGATGTGCCAATAACGGAGGCGCGTGTTCTGTTCTCTGCGGGTGTAGGGGCCGGTGAGTCACTTCTTCTGCCCCTGCTAAAACTGACGTCATCTGCTTTAGGGCTGACGATAGCAACTGCATGAGCCCGTACACTCCCCCACCCGATGCTGACCCAGGCAACACGTCGTGCGAGTGCGTCGGCGGGTGCGTTCCATATCGTACCCGTTCTGCACGACCCTGCACTTGCGCGTCTCTTGCAATAGGGTGTACGGATACATGTGGCTGCCGAGGTAGCTGCCATCGCGGATAATCTCCCTGGACGTCGCACGGCGTTTAACTTCGCCATTGTAAATTTGGGTATGTATAGCTACCCATTCAATGTATTCCCTTCAAGATCAGTCCACTGAGACACATTGTATGCTATATCATGTAATAGAAATTACTCAGGGAAGAACCGAATCTCTGATCAGGATTTGAACCTGTTTATTTAAGCTCAGAAGCTTGATACCGTTATACTACCACCAGAGTGACCATGACTGGATTACCTTAGTATAGACCTCACGACGAAACCTAATCAATTAATAAACTCCTTCCTCTAACTGTTGAGAGATTAAGAATTACTAAGTAGGAGCCTGGATTTCCGGATCTCCGGTATTGATATTGACACATTCGGCATTATCGTGTACCCCATGCACGCTACCATCAGAAGAGTCACTCATGAGGATGGTACGAGTAAGGTAACTTCCAAGGCCGTGTTCGTGCTGGGTTCCACTACTACCCGGACTCGAAAGGTCATTGCGCAGAACACGCTTTCGTTTAACGGTGATACAGAGAGGAAAAGAGCTAGCGACGACAGGAACCGTGACAAAAAGTCAGACCTTCAGCTTTAGGCCTCAGTACTTCAGTGCTCAGTGCTTAACCCCACTCAAAAAGCTCCAAGATTCAGCGAAATTTCTGACCGGGATTTGAACCCCAAACCATACACAGCCATGATATTGCTGCTAAACTACCATGACACCGACATGATTCATGTTACATCGTGCTATGCATTCCTACTGTAGCGAGCGCTGAACGACCATTTCACTAGCGAAGGCACCTTGTTGCACTGAATTAACAGGTGTGAGACTTTTACGACTCCAATATCTATTCCGAGAAACTGGTCCGCCTTATTAAGTTAGAAAGAGACCATGATCCATAGTGCCAATTCAATCCTATATACTCCCAACGATGCCAGACTCCAGAGGCAACAATTATCGAAACGAGAAACAAAAAGCAGGAACTGCAGTCACATTTTCCGATCGGGACTCGAACCCAGGTCTTACGGCCAGATTAATGCTAACCCCGCCAGCCAATGAAGCTTGAAGTACGGAGCATGAAGGGCCAAGCACGATACCTGACAGAGAAACGAACCTTACAAAGTACTTAGCCTGGAAGGTAGCGAAAGAATCGTACCGGGGCACAAAAATGCTTTTCCGTACTCTTCTCATGCCCACGAAATAGCCGCTAAGCCACCACAGAACGCTAAACTTTGTCATAATCTCCCATCTGTTCTGTATTACCAACCCAACGTCGGCTGCCAAAATAACGGACTTCGGGCATGGAAGACTCGAGACCGTTTGAGTCCGCTTGACCTATTTAGCGTCGAGGAGTCGTACGCTCTCGAGCTTTGGAAAGACTCCGGTCATGACAAAGCGGTCAGAGTGATGGAGCAGAAAGTTCGTAAACGGATAAACGCTGCACGTAAAGACCATTGTCAAGCTAGGGCGGGCGAGCATTCAACATCAGTTACTAATAAAGCATAGAAGAGCAGCTCACGATAGGCAAAATTGAGTAGAGCTGACGTGAGGGATGTGACATTGAATGATGCCCGAGTTGTCTTGGCTTTAGCGGCGTCTCTGAAAGGGCAGAACTTTATGAGGAAGGGCAGAAGAGCGGGACGAAGAAAACACATACAGAACTTCCATCCAGCCTACGGGCTGAAACACTTCCCCACCAAAAGCTGAGTGAGCCGTCTGACCTCCACGTACGCACGCATATCGCTGGAGGTAGGAATCGATTCTCTGTATTCGCAAGCGCGGTGCCGTGGTATCAGAGTGGATATAGTCCTGGTTGGCGTAGGTCTGCACTCTTCAATGGCTCAGGCAGCGTCGAATGCGGATGATCTGCCCACCGCTCGGTGGTCCGCCGAGGTGCTTGTCGGACGGGGAGAGACGGGCTGAAAAGGGTGCACCGCTCTGCCGACCAAACAACGATGAAGCGGTTCATGGCGTCGTTGAGAATTTTGTGGCACTCTCAGGAAAATTATTCGTAGTGTGACACGGCATCACCTCCTAGGCAAGCAGGAAATGGTGCAATTTCGTTGCCGCATTCTAGTGAGATGCATCTCGCGAACTAGGTTTCGTGCATTATTCAACTCGACGAGGGTAATCAAACACTGAATATAGTGAGAAAATGGGGGGGAAAATAATGGCAAAGTCACGCACTATTTCTCTTACGGCCTGTGGGTCTCCTTGCAACCCTCTCTTCTGTCCATTACCAGATATGTTTCCGTATAGATATCTGTGATTCGAGTAAAGTTGACTCGGAGCTGGGCTGAGCTTGCGCGGGACATTCTGGACAGGAAAGACCTCAAAATAGCAGTCACACGCACCACGTGATTCAGCGTCATTGCCGAGTCCTCCGAGTCGGTCCCGTCGCCCGATGCCATCCTCTCATCTTGCCATCAAACAAATCTTCGTCAAATTATATCACCCTTATGACCAACTTATGACAGACCCTCTTCAGTGCATCATCAAAGAAAAACCACGGACTTTAACCCAAAGACAGGGCGAGGGCGCTGCGTGAGCTAGGTCGTCCTGCCAGAGCAATACCACTGAGTATGATATCTGCGGCGAGTGAGCGCCATGCTACCTTCTTCAAAATTGACGTCTTACGTCCTTGTTGCAGGCACTTTTCCCATAGCAATCTAATCTTCCGAACTTCCGCCAGACACATCTGCTCCGAACAGCGAGCAGTACGTATGAAAACTGAGCCCTTATGGCGAATGTTGTGCTTGTCAAAGTGGATCTGGATGTACTAATAATGGACACGTCTCCTCAGCTCTCTGCGGGTGTGGTGAACGGTGAGTCACATGTCTTCCTGCCCCTTACTGTTTTAGCGCTGATGATAGTCCCCTGCACTCCTCCGCCTGACGCTGATTCAGGAAACACGACGTGTAAAGGAATTGGCGACTGCTTTACATGTCGTACCCGTTCTAGATGACCTTGCACTTGCCCCTCTCTTGCAATGGAATAGCTGCTATGACGGATCCCCATATGATTAACCGCAAGGTAGGTAGTCTAACGGTACCAAGCTCCTAGGCTTAGACAGGTTCGAGTCCTGATCAGATATTTCGTGCTTTTCGTCATATTTTTATATGAGCTAAGTCGGCCGCGTTTTGCTCGCACTGTACCCGATGTCGAAGGGTAAAATTCACCGAATATGTATCTACATGTTTACGAGGGCAACGTCAAGAACCTCAGACTTTAGGTATGTCAATTACCTTATAATTAGACAGCAGAACAAAGCGTGAAGTCAGCTAACCAGTTGCTCCCTCTAACTGTAGAGAGCTTAAGAATTGCCGTATAGTACGAGGGATATCGACGACATCGCTTCATGAATTTCCCTGGTAGCTGCTTAATGCCAATTCACAGATACCAATTCTGTTCTTCGTGTATCTCGTACATGCTATCAATAGCGCATTCAGGCAGGGTAGTATGAATAAAACAACACTAAGTCCGCGTGCACTGAACATCACTACTAGTACTTGGTATTTCGACTCAAAGTCTATGGCCCGATGGAACACGCAGAACCGAGTGGCGCGCGCACAATACAATGTACATAGAACGGATAAAAACCTCAGTACGACTCAAAGATTCAGGTCTTTCAAAGAGTCTTTTCCGGGACTCGAACCCAGGACTGGATTACGGAACTCGTGTTAACTGGTCCTTCATTCCACCACGCATTTCTTCCATAGCAGGAGGACAATATCCCTAGCAAAAGCATGCTGCACCGGATTAACCTATCGCCAGGTGTGCGCCTTGAATAAACTCGGTGTACACGAGAAAACTCCCAATGCAAGTCTCAGCCAATTCAAATTTTAAACGGCCTATATTCTACTAACAATTAATGACCAACCATAGCGTGAACGAACTAACCCATACCGAATGTGAGAAATAAACCGCAACCAAAAATGAACTTTTTTCGTAAAACGACGCTATTGTCTGATCTTGGTCTGATCGGGACTCGAATCCAAATCCTGCGGCCAGGTGAATGCCATGAGACTACCAGAGGGCTCAATGGCCGGTACCACGAATAGACTAAACTCATCAGCCGTGAAGGGTCCTTACACCCATCGTTAGTTTCCTCGATCTTGAAAGAAAATCGAACGGGAAGCTCGCAAGCTCGCATGAATGGCAGAAAGATTCTGAAAGAAAACATACCAAGAGCCGAGAAAAGAATCGATAACCATATAAGCACACGAGATAACGACTAAGCGACCAAGGGACACGATGAAAATCGATAATTTCCCATCTGTTAGCTATCACCAACCGTGGTAAAAGCAGCTGAGAGGTACATCGGTAGTCGATCGTGTCTTCTCTCCGGTAAGTATCCTCTCGCTAGGCCGCCGGCTTCGAGGAAGGGAACTGACTTGAGGTCTGTCGAAGTATACACTAGTCAAACAAAGTAGTACTTGAACAACAAAAAAACAAAAAGGCTATGCAACATCTTTCCAAGATCTCTAGATGGGGTTCGAACCCAGCTTTCGGCCGACAATGGATACCCTCGACATTTCAGGCAAATGTGTTAACCGGTCTACTACTAGAGACTGTTCTATTTGAGAGTTCATTAATAATACCGATGATACTTGGTATGGTCAAAGCCGACTTACTGGTATGGACATTCCCCCGATAGTAAAGCGACCCATTAATCCAAGACTCACTGTAAAACACCTCTGCGCCTGATGCTTGATATCAAGCCCGGTCGAAGTTAAGGAGCCCAGGAGAAAGTCGGTATGGACCGGGCCTTGTATCAACGCGATCTAAGATACGTGCTGTCCTGGATATGAAACTCGACCTGCATATCCAACGCGTCCACCTCGAATAACAAAAAGTTGAATTTAGACGACTAACAACGAGGTTAGAGCTGATCCATACCGCCAAATCACAATAAATTCATACCAAACAGCGATATCCTCCGTCTTCCAGAGGCGCGTCTCATTGTCGTCCGACCACGCTTCCGATAACGGATCACAATTCTCCCCATCCCAAAAGCCTCGCTCGCCTTTTGCGTGACTTTGTGAGGATGACAGGAAAGACACCGCTGATGGAATGATGATCAGCCCAGGGACAGCAGGTGGAAGAGGCTTCGTTTGGGTGATTGTAGGCTGACCCGCAGGATCAGCTTGGCATGAATCAAGTGAGAAACCGGCGCCCATGACGAGAACATCTCCCCGAGGTCCGCAAATTTGAATTTGCTCGACCTTTTTCGACATCCTCGATCGTGAAAAGACTTGACTCGCGCTTCTCGTCACCTCGGGTGCGACAAGGTGACCGTCACGATGTCCTCGTGATGAAGCAAAGAATTAGCAGCTGGATAAATGCTGATCATTGTCAAGGCAGGACGAGTACATTTCGAATCCCTTTTAGACTACAATCAGTATCAATATAAAGGAGTAAAGTAAGGCAAAGTCGCTCACGATGAACAACTTAATAGAGTGTTAACATGCCGTCGTATACAAAAATGCCCCTTGCTTCTCTCGAACTACAGCGTACGGCTTTGAAACCCATCCCTGATATGCGATGGACATTCTTCTCCTCGAAAATGAAGAATATACGTCATCCAAGCATATCGAGTCGTCAAGGAGAAAAACAAAGATGCGTGATGCAAAGATGCGCGTACCGTTGTCGTTAGACCGACAAGGAACAAATATGGGACAAGGATGGTCATTTGACTCAATTTCCAGCGGCGATATCCTTCAAACGGTGCCGGCCGATGGAAAACCTGAACCGGATGTTATAATTCCCTGCCGAATGCTCGATGATGCTCACGAATGAATCGTATTGAAAACACTGGAATAATCGCGATCGAAGAATGACAAGTTTTCTGTCTCTGTTATCGGGCCTCGAAGCCAAATCCTGCGGTCAGGTGAACACCGTGAGACTACCAGAGGAAACAGCAATCGTTGCCCAATAATCAGACAAGCCGTCGGCCAGGACTGGCGCCGCTCATCTTTGGAATGATGAGGAACATTATTTGTCTTTTTCGTTACCACGGGATCTGAGATGTACATTGGTAGTCAATCGTGTCTTCTTTTCAGTAAGTAACATCTCCCTAGATCCTGAACGTCGGCTGTCAAGGTAACGGACTTCTTAAGTGGGGAGTGTGGCGGAAATCAAGACCGTCGCCCCGACGTCCGCGCAGATTTGAATTCACTCCACCTGCCCAGTCTCCAATGCAAGGGAGACGAAGTTTACCACATCGTCGAGCCTGAGACGACCCCGTCGCCTGAGCGACTTAGTAAATGGATACACACTTAGCGTAGCGACCATTGTCTTGACAGGGGGGACGAGATCTTGTAAGCCATTTTCGAGTCCCTTTTGGACTACAATCAGGATCAATATAGAGAAATAAAGTGTAGCAGAGTCGCTCACCGTGGACAGATGTAAGTAGTACGACGCGAAAAGCGGCCCTTGCTTTGCTCGAACTATTGCAATAAGCTGTTATGAGAAAGACCGATCGCATGCTCCTTAACGTAAGAACTCACCAGCTAAAATGTAGAATTACTCTAATATCCCAGTTCGAATAATCACCGATTCTTTATATGTAATGGATGTGATGCCCACTCCAGGACGTGGCCGCCATGAAGGATGAGAAAAATATAGAAGTGGAGCAGAGTGGCTAAATGCTGGTCCGCCAAGGGTCCTCCTTCGACACAAGAGAGTGAACGTATGACGTCGTATCACCCTATCCTTCTTATCTTTGGCCAAGAGATAGACAAAGATAGCACGAAAGCCAATATACGTTTGCCACTTCCATCGACAGCTCTCCGTCACGGAGCTGTAGAGTCTCCGGATGCGACTTCGATGGTCCTCATAATGACGTTTCCAACACCCACCGATTACGATTACTCGGATATCCTACTGTGAGCGCAATGGTGATAACACGAAATATGAAAGACCGTCACTGTAGGCAGCCTCATAAGCCCCGTCCCATCTCCTCGTGACGAGGCAAGGCTACGCCATTGGCCAACTACTTTATAGTCATTGGAGCCGCGTCTCTCGACGGTCAAACCGCACTTGCGGTCCGCCTGCCTGCTGGAGAGTTGTTGCCGCACCAGGACAAATTGCCCTGGAATCAAAGTTATATAGCTTTCGATCGTGCTGCCTGCCAGGGTATAAGGTCAGGCAGGAATACATGGGCAGTTAGACGGGAACTAACCGGCACCGTGAGGCCGTTATCTACTCTGACCATGCTGTACGGCAGGGATAAGCAGGACCTCCCATTGTGCCGACAGCTGTAGAACTGGATAAAATGAAAGGTGATGGCAGTGATAGAATTTTGCGGAACCGGCCACCGATTGACCATCCAGCGCCACTGTCCCCACGCCGTCAAGAAAGTTATTGACATGAAGACCGCACATCTCTGTTTCAGGAGACGTTCTCGAAGCCAGCTGCCGGTTGTGTGAATACAAACCTTGTCCTTGCTAGATGTGCAGATTCCGGTCATTACGGAGTTCATTTTGCAGGAATGGTCCAGGAGTTTCGGAGGGAAGAACGGGACGCTCGAACATGGGTATACTTCATGAATGCCTGCCAAACCCCTTGTCATGAGCGACACTCTTGCTTGCTGTCTCCGCTCCGTTGCTTCCGTTCTACGATTCGACCTCCGCGATGAAAGGGGAACTGGTGGAGAAGAATGCCTTCTTAAACCTCTTCAGTGTCATTTCCTCCGTCTCCACCGGTTCACCTGGAAAAAATTCCAGTCGACTAACATAGGCACTGCACACGGTGGTCCTAATCAACGTAGATATCAGACGGAATATGAGCGAAAAGCAGGGCTATACGTACAATATGACACCGCAATCGCCTGCCCGTAGCTCTTAATCGTACATGGCCACCTCAAGCAGCAAAGCATCTAAAAATATGGCAGGAAGTGTATTAAGAGCCAAGCTATGGGCCAAGGAACCGCGAACGACAAACCTTCCGTCGTCTCGTCGATTCCGTCCTAGAAAGTCCCCGGCATACCACCGTTACATTGAGATACGTCCTCGTGGCTCTTGGCACCAACGGCCAGAACCCTCAAGACGGGCAAGCCCACTTCTCGCCATTATCTGTCAGCGCACAATCCGTGACTCCGGGCGCGTTGAGTATGAGTTTGCGAAGTTTCATAGGCGGATACAAGTGGGTTAATCATTGGTCTCGTGTTTGTCCAGAGTGAGTTGAGCGCGTCGCGGAGAACGTTCCTTCACGGATATCAATAATGGAGTCGAACACCTGGTCGTACGTAAAAAACCTTTGTACAATCCTGCGAAAGTGGGCATTGTATTATTTACGCAAGACGTTATTGAACTCTGAGTTTGCTTAGAGTGAGAAAATGTTGGGATTCGCCTAAGAAAGGGCTAGCACGTCAAGGAGAGAAAGCCTAGACGAAAAATAAATCAATACCGTAGTCCTATCTATACATAAAATTTTTCATTCATCCCTGTTTCTTGGTCGCGAATGGCCTAAACAGAGTGATATCCTGCATAGCAGTGAGAAACATTATTGGTGGTGGTTCGAGTTTAAGCCGGAAATGCCCGGCAATCAACGTCAGTCATGTAGACACTCCTATTGGTTCGGCATTTTCGGCATTTAAGTCCTGTTCCCCTCATCGACTCCCTCCAGTGAAGTTCTCCAAATTCTTCTCTAGCTGCATCGGAATTTCGTGTGCCACTGGCTCTCTTTTTGTATGACTCTTATCTCTCCTTCAGATATACTTACAAGCAACCGCATGACTTGACGACTCAATGGTGCCTGTGGGAGATATCAGCCCTGAGCCACTGAAATTGACATGGGATCGCAGTTCGCGGCAAACCCAACCCTGTCCAGGATCACAAAATCTCCACTGAATCTTATCACGTACCGTCTTACACCCTTTACAAATTTGCCAACTAGGCCGTACAAGGGCGAGTTTTCTATTCACAAAACGTGCAGCCTTTCCTTCTCCATTTGAACTAGGGATAGAACCTGATACTATCTCTGCCAGTGTGGGGTATCGTGTTATCGACCGCCGCGCTATTAGCTCAAGAACATGACCCTTGGCCTTTGTTCGAGGTAAGAAGTTCACCTTGTAACATACGCTTCGGATGTTCATCGATAACCTCTTGCCAAGGACCCTCTGCGGTACAACGCACGAGCTGCATAGACAGGGAATAACAATCGTCATGGCACCGTGAACCTGTCCAGTCAGACTTTAGACATTTCCATCACAGCAACCCATCGAAAAAGATGTATGTTTTTCATCTTCCGCAACGCACCAACTTCGGCATCAATGATAAATGAAGCGCCTAAAAAACTGCGGGACTGTATGACATTCGGAACTCCTTCTGCGGGTGTTGCTAATTGATTGTCATTATAGGCCCCGCCGTGCAATCCCCATTAGACTCACAATGGTCGCGAAGGTCCTTCAACTCTTTATCTATATCTATGCCTCAATATTTATTCTTTTCCTCTACTGCAATAAACAGGATCTATTTCGAGACAAACCCGCATTCGTACGCAGTATACGCCACTAAACGTACCCACGCTGAGGTCATCTTTTCCGCTCAGAAAGCGTTAACAATATCTA